TCATTCTCTTACATGTACACCTGTCCAGTTCTGCCAACACCAGCTGTTGAAGGGGCTGTCGTTTCCCCATTGTATATCCATGGCTCCTTTATCATATATTAATTGGCTATGTATGTGTGAGTTTGTATCTTGGCTATCTGTTCTCTTCCATTTATCTATGGGTCTATTCTTGTGCCGGTACCAAATTGTTTTGAATACTGTGGCTTTGTAGTAGAGCTTAAAGTTAGGGAGCATAATCCCCCCAGCTTTGTTCTTCCTTCTGAGGATTGCTTTGGCTGTTTGGGGTCCTTTGTCTTTCCATATGAATTTTAGAACTATTTGTTCTACTTTGTTGAAGAATGTTGTTTGTATTTTGATAGGGATTGCATTGAATCTATATAGACTACTTTAGGCAGTATGGCCATTTTGACAATATTAATTCTTCCTATTCATGAGCATGGGATGTATTTCCATTTATTGGTGTGTTTAATTTTTCTCATGAGTTTCTTGTAATTTTCAGCGTATTTTTATCTTCTCCTTGGTTAGGTTTATTCCTAGGTATTTTATTCTTTTGGTTGCAATTGTAAATGGAATTGTTTTCCTGATTTCTCTTTTTGCTAATTCATTAATAGTATATAGGAATGCAACAGATTTCTGTGTATTAATTTTGTATCGTACAACTTTGCTTACTTATTAGTTTTAGTAGTTTTGGGGTAGATTCTTTAGTTTAGGGTTTTTTATGTATAATATCATGTCATCTGCAAACAGTGACAGTTTAACTTCTTCCTTACCAATTTAGATGCCTTTTATTTCTTTGTGTCGTCTGATTGCCATGGCTAGGACCTCCAGTACTATGTTGAATAAAAGTTGGGAGAGTGGGCATCCTTGTCTCGTTCCTGATCCTGAAGGAAAAGCTTTCAACTTTTCACTGTTAAGTATGATGTTGGCCGTGGGTTTGTTGTAAATGGCCTCTATTGTGTTGAGGTACTTGCCCTGTATACCCATTTTGTTGAGAGTTTTTATCATGAATGAATGTTAAATATTGTCAAATGCTTTTTCAGCATTTGTGGAGATTATCATGTGATTTTTGTCCTTTAATTTGATGTGATGTGTGATGTTAATGGATCTTCAAATATTTACCATCCTTGCGTCCCTGGAGTAAATCCCACTTGGTCATGATGGATAATCTTTTTTATGTATTTTTTAATTCAGTTTGCTAATATTTTGTTGAGTATTTTTGCATCTCTGTTCATCAGGGATATTGGTCTGTAATTTTTTTTTTTTCTGGTGTCTTTGCCTGGTTTTGGTATTAGAGTGAAGTTTGGAAGTATTCCCTTCTCTTCTACTTTTTGGAAAACTTGAGTTATCAGGTCTACTCTAAATGTTTGATAAAATTCAGCAGTAAGTTATCTGGTCCATGAGTTTTGTTCTTAGGTAGTTTTTTGACTACCAATTCAGTTTCATTGCTGGTAATTTATCTGTTGAGATTCTCTTGTTTCATCCTGGGTCAGATTTGGAAGGTTGTATTTTTCTAGAAAGTTGTCCATTTCTTCTAGGTTATCCAGTTTGTTAGTATATAATTTTTCATAGTATTCTCTAATAATTCTTTGTGTTTCTGTGAGTCCATAGTGATTTTTCCTTTCTCATTTCTGATTCTGTTTATATGTGTAAGACTCTTTTTTTCTTGATAAGTCTGGCTAGGGGTTTATCTATTTTGTTTATTTTCTCAAAGAACGAGGTCTTGGTTTCATTGACTTTTTTCTATTTTATTCTTCTCTTATTTATTTCTGCTCTGATGTTTATTATGTCCCTTCTTCTACTTTGGGCCTCATTTGTTCTTCTTTTTCTAGTTTTGTTGATTGTGAGTTTAGGCTGTTCTTTTGGGATTGTTTTTCTTTCTTGAGGTAAGCCTATATTGCAATATACTTCCCTTTTAGAATTGCCTTCACTGAATACCACAGGTTTGGGGCTGTTGAGTTGTTTTCATTTGTCCCCATATATTGCTTAATCTTGTTTTAATTTAGTCACTGATCCACTGATTGTTTAGGAGCATGTTGTTAAGCCTCCATGTGTTTGTGCTGTTTTTTGTATTCTTTGCAGAATTTATTTCTAGTTTGATACCTTTGTGGTCTAAGATGCTGGTTGGCACAATTTCAGTCCTTCTGAATTTACTGAGGCTCTTTTTGTGGCCTAGTATGTGATCTATTCTGGAAAACATTTAATGTACACTTGAGAATAATTTGTGTTCCGCAGCTTTTCGGTGGAGTGTTCTGTAGATGTCTGTTAAAAGCTCTGAACAACACAATAGAACAGATGGATCTGTCTCCTTACTTATTTTCTGCCCAACTGATCTGTCCTTTGGAGTGAGTGGTGTGTTGAAGTCTCTAGAATGAGTGCACTGCATTCTATTTCCCCCTTTAATCTGTTAGTATTTGTTGTACATGTTTGGGTGCTCCTATATTGAGTGAATAGATACTTATAATGGTTGTATCCTCATGTTGGACTGACCCCTTTGTCATTATGTAATGTTGTTCTTTGTCTTTTGTTACTTTCTTTGTTTTGAAATCAATTTTGTCTGATACAAGTACTGCAACTCCTGTTTTTTTCTCCCTGTTATTTGCATGAAATATCTTTTCCATCCCTTCACTTTTCGTTTGTGTCTACCTTTGGGTTTGAAGTGAGTCTCTTGTAGGCAGCATATAGAAGGGTCTTGTTTTTTTTATCCATTCTGTATGTCTTTTGGTTGGTGCATTCGGTCCATTTACATCTAGGGTGATTATTGATAGGTATGTACTTAGTGCCATAGCAGGCTTTAGATTCGTGGTTACCAAAGGTTCAAGGTCGGCTTCTTTACTGTCTAACAGTCTGACTTAACTCGTTTATTATGCTATTACAAACAGAATCTAAAGGTCATTTTTTTTTGGTCCCTTCTTTTTCTTCCTCTCCCACTCTTTATATGTTAGATATCATTCTATACTCTTTGTGTATACATTTACTGAGTTTTTGGGTAGCTGATTTAATTTTGTATTTGCTTAGTAATTAATTGGTCTGCTTCTTTTACTGTGGTTTCATTTTCTCTCGTGACAGCTATTTAACTTTAGGAGCACTTCCATCTGTAGCAGTCTCTTCAAAATACTTTGTAGCGTTGGTTTGTAAGAGATAAGTTCTCTCAACTTTTGCTTATTTGGAAATTGTTTAATCCCTGCTTCAAATTCAATGATGATCTTGCATTTTAATTATTATATGTCTTGGTGTTGTCTTCCTAGGGTTCCTTGTGTTGGGAGATTTGTGCACTTTCATGACATGAGACACTATTTTCTTTCCCAGACTGGGGGATTTTTCAGCAATTATTTCCTCAAAGAGACTTTCTATCCCTTATTCTCTCTTCTTCTTCTGGTACTCCTATAATGCAGATATTATTCTGTTTGGATTGGCCATACAGTTCTCTCAGTATTCTTTCATTCCTAGAAATCCTTTCCTCTCTGTGCCTCAGCTTCTTTGTGTTCCTTTTCTCTAATTTCTATTTCATTTACCATGTCCTCTACCTTACCTAATCTACTTTTAAATCCCTCCATTGTATGTTTCATTTCATGTACTGTATATTTCAAAGTTTCTATCTCTTTCCTGATGTCCTCCGTGAGATCGTGAATATATTTTTTGTATCTCCATGAGCATGTTTTTGATTTTTATTTTGAAATCTTTATCAAAAGATTGGAGATTTCAGTTTCATTTAGCCCTCTTTCTGGCTTCTTCTGATTCTTTCTTTGTACAAAATTTTTTTGCCGTTTCATTTTTCTAGTGATTCCTGTGGAATAATAACTGTGTGTAGGTGGTGCCTTCTAGTGCCCAGAAGCTCTACTCTCTGGAGCTGCCCTGCACCAGCAGTGAAGGCAGGGGTCGCAGGCATGTGGTACCAGTGCCTGCCGGGAGGAAAGAGCTCTTTCCTGCTTCCTGGCTGCTGTGCCTGCCTCCACTACCAGGGCCACTGGGCCAAGCGTGCTGGTAGGAGCTTCTGTGTTACGCACCTGTATCTGCTATAGGTGGGGCCACCCTCTGGGCGGCCTGGCGTGTTAGATGGGGTAGCAGCTGTGCGAATCGGTGTCTGCCTGGAGGAATGGAATCTCAGTCTCTCTGAGAACTCTGCCTGTATTTGCTTTCCAAATATTTATTGAAGATGGTAGACAAAGGACTAGTAATGTAGAATATTTCAGAATAATAAGAAAATACTAATGTCACCTCATTGGAAAATAGTTATTGATCATGATTCACAGAAGAAGCCCAGTGATTAATAAAAATATGAAAATCAGTTCAATCTCACCAGTAATTAAAAAATTACTTACAGAAAGTAGTATTGAGACAATTGTCCCCCATTTCATGGAAAAGTGATATTCAGTTCTGAAGAAGGTAAATGGAAGAATTATAGATTGGTTTAACCCTTCCAGAAAGCCGGTTGCCAATACGGGTGTTGGGTTTAAAAATATGGATATCATTTGTGCTTGTAATCTCACACAAAATTTTTTTCCCAAGGAAATAGATATGTTCGCAAGTTTTCTAGTAGGAGCGTTCATGTCTGGGTTCCTAATAATGAAAGACTCAAAACCCAAATAAATACCTAACCAGTGAGGGAGTGATCTGAAAAGTTTTGGCCTACTTACAGAATAGAATGGAGTTGTTGAATGAAATGATGAGAGCAAGAGGCAATTCGTGTATATCCTCTGATCCAGACTTATGAGCATGTGTACAACTGTGTCTCTTGAAAGGATGCCCAGGAAATACATTTGCAAAGTAGTTACTTGTCCCTTGGTAGTAAGGAAAGAAGGATTTCCGTTTTCTTCATATCGCTCTTCATTTTCAATCTGTGTGTACTAAGTGTATATTACTTTAGTAATCTGGGGGAAAACTTATATGCAAGTAATGCAGTTGAACAGTTTCTTTCATTTCTTCATTCTGATTTAATTTAAAAAATGCTACTTTTCCATTTTTTTCTGTAAGTAAACAGTAGATGTTCCTGTGTCCACTAGGAAGCTCCTCCGGGTGCTCCCGTTGCCGAGTGAGAACTGGGGAGCTCTAGTTGGAGAATGGTGTTGTCATCCTGACCCCTTTGCTAATAAGCCACTTCATCCGCAAGAGAATGACTGTTTTCTTGTTGACACTTTCTTCTTGGTGAATTTAAGAAGTGACTTGTGGCATCCAAGACCTGAACTAGCCCCAGCGGAGATGCACTGTCTTTCTTCTGAGAACCGTTTTAAATTGGTAAACTATGTTTTCAAAATAAATGCTAATTTAGAGGTTGGGTTAGAAACTGCCAAACTCCATTATTTTCAACTGCCTCTATTCCCCAGCTCTGCCCTACTGATAGAGGGAAAGCATGTGGCCTTTAAACCAGAACAGCTCACAGATGCTGAGGGAAGAGGAGGAAGAGGATTTCTTCATGCATAGAATAGGGAATATTACCATTTTACAAGTCAAAATGCCCTACTTGTTTTTAGGACAATATTCCATGATCCATGTATACTTTATCCTCATAGTCTTATTGAACTTAAAAGTGTTCTCTTGCTCCAGGATATCTACAATACAGTTAGGCCACGTTGTTTTCCTGTGTCTGGCTGTAGTCTAGACTTACGCTGTTGTCATAAAAGCAGATGCCATCAAGGAAAAAGAAGAAACGTAGGAGGCCAAGCGTGGAAATAAAGGTCATGCTGCCAGCCCTAAGTTGGTGGTTAGCAACAGGAGGTCATGTCGCTGTTACTGTCAAAGTTGCTTTAGGGAGAAGGCAATTTCCTCTCACTGCAGAGAACAAGCGGTTTACCTTACTTGAAAAGAAAATCAGTGGCACTGATTTGGCTCTTGTAAGAAACCATTCTCCTGATGGCAAGTCAGTAGAGATGTGATTTTTAAAAGTAAAGAAAATCGTTGCCAGAGAATTTTCATGTTAACATCTGATTATTGGTAGTAACAAAAGTATTGCTTGTTAAATTTCATTTAAAACTCATTTAATTTTTGTAATGAGAGCTAAGCTACTTCAGGAAATCCACGGCAGTTGGGTAGCTGTTTGGTTGTAAGTTAGTTTATATTATTATTTTCTATTTTGAGGAAGATTAAGGAAGTTCATCAAATATTGACATTAAAGTTGTTATCAGAATTATTTAAGTGCCTTCTTTCTCACCATAAACACAAATCCCTTTATCTAAGTATGGTTCATTTAAAATAATATTTATATTTTTAAAGGATAAGTGGTAAAAAGTTAACATATTATATTTAATATAGTTATGTAGGAAAATCATATTTTAATCTAAATATATATACTAATACTTTACTGTTTTGTATGTTTTAACTTTCATTCTTACCAGTAAGTTATACATTTAAAAAATATTTAGAAGGTATAAGTGGAAGAAGAGGGGAGAAAAATTAAAAAAGAACACGTATTTCCTTTTTTAGACAAACTTTGCACTCTGGAAATACATTCTTCATATTTCTGTCTTTATCAGTGATGTGATGCCATTTACAAGAAGTTTTCTTAATTGTGAACAATAGTCCAATGTGTTAAAGGAAGGCCCTTCATATTAAGACATTATGGTTTTTAATATCAAAGACACTATGGGAAATTACTATTATGACGAGATGCTGTTGACAAGATTGTTTTCAGGTTAGCCTAGACGGAAGCTTCACTTTAATTGCATATTGCAGCAGGTGGGAAGAGTATGCCTGTGACTAAAATAGTAACATAAATTTGGAGGGACTGCTTAAACGGTGTTCTCAAGGCTCCTGTGGGAACAAGACTGCTCTGTGCTGTTTATTGAAAACCTGTTTCTCCTGTCACCCAGTCCAGCCACCTAGCAGGGTTTGAAATGTTACATAGTGACACAGCATCCCAACGGTATCTCTTGGGAAACATTATTTTGTTGAGACAATATGAAGGGTCCACAGAAATTGAAACAACACAAAGGAAAATAAAAACAAGGACAGGAGGCTAATCTACCTCTCTGAGCAGCAGTGCCGTCTCTCAGATATATTGATTCAATTAGTCCACAGCAATGTCTTTCTTTGATAATTGCTCCACAGAGTTCCCACATTAAGCTGCTTCACTGCACTGCTTGCTCAGTTATTTCTTTCAGAGGTCAAGAGAAATGCATTACAAAGCAGTTTCTCTTTAAACAAAATCAGAAGTGTTATATATTAATTTTTAAAATACCTGATCTTAGGAACAGTGTACACAAGCAGAAAGCCCGACTCTTACTTCTTTCCGTCAGTCCCCTAGAGTGTACGGTATGTTCTTTGTGCCTTTGTTAGGGTGGCAGTATATACCTTTTGTACCAGTGCTCTTCAAAAATCTCAATGTTCTGAAAAAAGGAAAGATTGAGAAACTGACAGAGACCAGAGGAGACTAGGGAAGCACAACTCAGTGCAGTGTGTTATCATGAATTGGGTCCTGGAATAGAAGAAAGAGGCATGAGTGAAAAACTAGGGAAATACAGATAAAAACTCTCATTTTGACAAATCTTCCACAATTGTGTAAGATGTTAACATTAGGGAAACTAGGTGAGGTATATGTGAGAACTAGGTACTACTTTTGTAACTTTTCTGTAAATCTAAAATTACTTCCAAATAAATTGTTTATTAAAAAATAGTAATGTGAGAAATCACTGAAGAAAGGATTAGGTGATTTGAAATTTAAGACATGTAAACCAACTTAAAAGGCAATAACACTGAGAAAATATTTATTGAGGATGGTAGACAAAGGACTAATAATGTAGAATAAACTTTTACAGAATAATAAGAAAATACTAATATGTCACCTCATTGGAAAATAGTCATTGATCATGATTCACAGAAGAAGCACAGTGATTAATAAATAAGAAAACCAGTCCAATCTCACCGGTAATTTAAAAATTGCTTATTAAAGTAGTATTGAGAAAATTGTCACCCATTACATGGAAAAGTGATATTCAATTCTGAAGAAGGTAAGTGGAAGAATTATAGATTGATTTAACCCTTCCAGAAAGCAGGTCGCCAATATGGGTGTTGGGTTTAAAAATATGCATATCATTTGTGCTTGTAATCTCACACAAATTTATTTCCCAAGGAAATAGATATGTTCACAAGTTTTCTAGTAGGAGCGTTCATCTCTGGGTTCCTAATAATGAAAGACTCAAAACCCAAATACCTAACCAGTGAGGGAGTGATCTGAAAAGTTTTGGCCTGCTTACAGAATAGAATGGAATTGTTGAATGAAATGACGAGAACAAGAGGCAGTTTGTATATATCCTCTGATCCAGACTTCTGAGCATGTGTACAACTGTGTCTCTTGAAAGGATGCCAAGGAAATACACTTGCAAAGTAGTTACTTGTCCTTAGGTAGTAAGGAAAGAAGGATTTTTGTTTTCTTTATATCTCTCTTCATTTTCAAAACTGTGTGTACTAAGTGTATATTACTTTTGTAATCTGGGGGAAAACTAATATGCAAGTAATGTAGTTGAACAGTTTCTTTCGTTTCTCCATTCTGATTTAATTTAAAAATTGCTACATTTCCATTTTTTTCTGTGCTACATTTCCATTTTTTTCTGTAAACAGTAGATGTTCCTGTTTCCACTAGGAAGCTCCTCCGGGTGCTCCCGTTGCCGAGTGAGAACTGGGGAGCTCTAGTTGGAGAATGGTGCTGTCATCCTGACCCCTTTGCTAATAAGCCACTTCATCTGCAAGAGAATGACTGTTTTCATGGAGACACTTTCTTCTTGGTGAATTTAAGAAGTGACTTGTGGCATCCAAGACCTGAACTAGCCCCAGCGGCGATGCACTGTCTTTCTTCTGAGAACCATTTTAAAGTGGTAAACTATGTTTTCAAAATAAATGCTAATTTAGAGGTTGGGTTAGAAACTGCCAAACTCCCATTATTTTCAACTGCCTCTATTCCCCAGCTCTGCCCTACTGATAGAGGGAAAGCATGTGGCCTTTAAACCAGAACAGCTCACAGATGCTGAGGGAAGAGGAGGAAGAGGATTTCTTCATGCATAGAATTGGGAATATTACCATTTTACAAGTCAAAATGTCCTCCTTTCTTGTTTTTAGGACAATATTCCATGATCCATGTATACTTTATCCTCATAGTCTTATTGAACTTAAAAGTGTTCTCTTGCTCCAGGATATCTACCGTACAGTTAGGCCACGTTGTTTTCCTGTGTCTGGCTGTAGTCTAGACTTATGCTGTTGTCATAAAAGCAGATGCCATCAAGGAAAAAGAAGAAACGTAGGAGGCCAAGCGTGGAAATAAAGGTCTTGCTGCCAGCCCTAAGTTGGTGGTTAGCAACAGGAGGTCATGTGGCTGTTACTGTCAAAGTTGCTTTAGGGAGAAGGCAATTTCCTCTCACTGCAGAGAACAAGCGGTTTACCTTATCTGAAAGGAAAATCAATAACACTGATTTGGCTCTTGTAAGANGATTATTGGTAGTAACAAAAGTATTGTTTGTTAAATTTCATTTAAAACTCATTTAATTTTTGTAATGAGAGCTAAGCTACTTCAGGAAATCCATGGCAGTTCAGTAGCTGTTTGGTTGTTAGTTTATATTATTATTTTCTATTTTGAGGAAGATTAAGGAAGTTCATCAAATACTAACATTAAGTTGTTATCAGAATTATTTAAGTGCCTTATTTCTCACCATAAACACAAATCCCTTTATCTAAGTATGGTTCATTTAAAATAATATTACTTTAGCCTTATATATTTTTAAAGGATAAGTGGTAAAAAGTTAACATATTTAATATAGTTATAAGGTAAAATCATATTTTAATCTAAATATGTATACTAATACTTTACTGTTTTGTGTGTTTTAACTTTCATTCTTACCAGTAAGTTATACATTTTAAAAATATTTAGAAGGTATAAGTGGAAGAAGAGGGGAGAAAAATTAAAAAAGAACACATATTTTCCTTTTTAGATAAACTTTTCACTCTGGAAATACATTCTTCATATTTCTGTCTTTATCAGTTATATGATGACATTTACAAGAAGTTTTATTAATTATGAACAATCGTCCAATGTGTTAAAGGAAGGCCCTTCATATTAAGACATTATGGTTTTTAATATCAAGGACACTATGGGAAATTACTCTTATGCCAAGATGCTGTTGACAAGATTGTTTTCAAGTCAGCCTAGACGGAAGCTTCACTTTAATTGCATATTGCAGCAGGTGGAAAGAGTACGCCTGTGACCAAAATAGTAACATAAATTTGGAGGGACTGCTTAAACAGTGTCTCAAGGCTCCTGTGGGAACAAGACCTCTGTGCTGTTGAAAACCTATTTCTCCTGTCACCCAGTCCAGCCACCTAGCAGGGTTTGAATGTCACATTGTGACACAGCATCCCAACGGTATCTCTTGGGAAACATTTTTTTGTCGAGACAATATCAAGGGTCCATAGAAATTGAAACAACACAAAGAAAAATAAAACTGAGGACAGGAGGCTAATCCACCTCTCTGAGCAGCAGTGCCGTCTCTCAGATACATTGATTCAATTAGTCCACAGCAGTGTCTTTCTTTGATATTTGCTCCACAGAGTTCCCACCTTAAGCTGTTTCACTGCACTGCTTACTTTATTATTTCTTTCAAACAAAGGTCAAGAGAAATGCATTACAAAGCAGTTTCTCTTTAAACAAAATTAGAAGTGTTATATATTAATTTTTAAAATACCTGATCTTAGGAAAAGTGTACACAAGCAGAAAGCCCGACTCTTACTTCTTTCCTTCAGTCCCCTAGAGTGTATCGTATGTTCTTTGTGCCTCTGTTAGGGTACCAGTACATACCTGTTGCTTTTGAAAGATATCTACTGAAGATTTCCCTGTTGCATTTGCCAGTTATCTCTTGTGCTATTTTTTTGTGCCTACCAACATTATAAAAATTGTTAATCTTATAATAGGATGACAATGGCACTTCAATCTTTTATAAGATTGATAATATTGTTCTAGACTTAGAAATATAGCCATACTATGACTTCATCCTATTTTTTAAAGAACAAATGAAATTGAACTTTGATTATATTATACCTGGCAAGTATGACTGTTTTTTTTCTTTCCTGGGGTATGTAGCAATAATTTTTATCTTAGTAATTGTTACTTAGTTTTGTTAAATTCTTAAGTTTATCTTTTTTATTTTCTCAGAATAATGTGTTGAACTTTGTAAATATTCACAAATATAAAAAGAATAGAATTATGAACTTCAGTATACCAACCATATTGATTCATAAAGTATGCTTTATCTGTCCCTTTTACTCTTACTTTTTTGCTGAAGTGCTTTAAAGCAAATCCCAGATACTATGTCAGTTCATCCCTATGTAGATTTTTCCTTTTTAAATAACCACAGTGTCATTTTTATGCCTGGCAAATTTAACAATTTCTTGATGATAAAATATCAGGCCATTTACAGATTTTGCCAGTTGTATTAGAAGTGCCTTCTACTGCCAGCTTGTTTGAATCAAAATTCACGCATTTGGTTGTTGGAAGTAATTTGCTTTTATTGATCAGATTTCAAAATCTTTATTACCCATGTCTTGAGAGGGTAGAATCTTACTTCAAAACCAAAACAACAAAAACCACTTTTCCTGCTTTATTGAAAGACAAAGCAAAATGTGCTCTAAGAACTATTATAAATGAAATACATAACAGAGCACCTGATGAAAAACTTTCTCCTTCAAATAGAAAAATTCCTTCTCAAGCATTGCTACTCCAATACCCTATATTAGTTTTTGGTAAGATTTAATGAAGATGGTCTGATTTAACTTGTATAAAATAGGATCCTTTAAAAAGTGTCTTTAATACCAATTTAGAGCCATACAGATAGATTTTATTGTAAGAAAGCATGAAGTGACTAAAATGTCAAACATTATAGTTGAACATCCCTGGTTTCTGAGCTGTCTTCCTAACCTTGCCTGGACCTAAAAAAATTTATACCTGTCAAGGTTTTTCTGTCTGTGGCTTTTGATGTTTTTTTTATCTCTAATTAAAGTAAGAAATATATTTTTTAATGAGGATCTGATAATACACACAAAAACACACCTCAACTAAAAGTTTCCTGAAGCTGTTTACCCTGTAAATAGCACTGTGATATTTTCTATTCTATTGTATTTATTTATTCTTTTTTAAATGTAGGCTATAACTCACTGAGTTGATTTTATGAATTGGTTGTAAAACATGGGCATAGTGGTTAGAAGCACGTTTTTAGCATCTAAGGGACCTGGATTCAAATACCACGTCTGCCAGTTACTAGCAGCACCTCCATGGATCTCAGTTTAAATATGCTTCTCATGCAGGTTTTCTGGAAATAAGTTATTTGTGCTAAGAGAAGTATGATTATCCTCAAACTTATACCAGTATAATTAGTATAACTAATGAGTCACTCCTTAGATTAATACATACATCACCCCACGTCAGTGTTTTTCCTCTCTTAGACTAGCACTGCTCTGTCGTTGCTAAGAGAAGTTACCTGAGCTGTCCAGAGATGCAGAACTTCTCCATGTCCACTATTTTTTTTGTATCATTAATCTACAGTTACATGAGGGACATTATGTTTACTAGACTCCCCCCATCACCAAGTCCCCCCTACAAACCCCATTGCAGTCACTGCCCATCAGCGTAGTGAGATGCTGTAGAATCACTACTTGTCTTCTCTGTGTTGCACAGCCCTCCCCGTGCCCCCACACACATTATACATGCTAATCGTAATGCCCCTTTCTATGTCCACTTTTATATGACTTCTGCCATGTTGCAGTGTATCTGGGTGAGAGGAATATTGTGTGGCTTTAACCATAGTGTTACTGTGGAACTAAAAAGAGCATTTTTAAATTTTTGGTAAATTCTAAGTATTCAGTGATTATCCATTAAAAGGCGAAAAATTGGTCTCTGTGAGAAGGTGTGAGTTTTCTGCCCATTTCTTGAATGATATGTGCCAAGTATATATTTTATTTAATATCCACCTAGCAGTTACCATGCACCTGGGACAGTGCTTTATAATACTCCTTTTTAAGTCCTAATGAATAATTCTCTGGGTTAAACACTGCTTTTAACTCTATTTTACAGATGAGGAGACCAAAACAGGTTAATTAACTTGCCTAAGGTCACATGTCTGGTAAATAACAGAGCTGGGATTTGAGCTTAGGAAACCTGGCCCCAGACTCTGTGTTCTTAACCACTGTGCAATTGTTTTATAACATACTTCTTATAACAAACTATAGATCAGTAAGATATTTAAAAATAGAGGTGTAATTGACATGTAACATTATATTAATTTCAAATGTACAACATAGTGATTGGATATTTACATATATTCCAAAATGATCACAATAAGTCTAATTAACACCTGTCACTATACATAGTTACAAAAAATTTTTTCTTATAATGAGAACATTTCAGATATACTCTTTTGGCAGCTTTCAAATTTGCAATACAGTATCATTAACTGTTGTCACCATGCTGCGGATCACGTCCTCATGGCTTCCTTACTCTATAACCGGAAGTCTGCACCTTTTGGCCACCTTCCCCACTTCGGCATCCCCACCCCGACCCCGCCTCTAATGACCATGATCTGTTTGCTGTATGTGAAATGATGTTCATTTGCTTTATGATTAAGTGAGTGCTATTTTAATCTATTTCAATGATGAATTTGGATTTTCAAAGTTTAGACTGTTTCAGCAATTTGTCCCAGAACACTGTCCATCTTTCCAGTTACAATGCATATCTTAAATGGAAAAATAGAATTATGTGAATGTGTTAGATATATTTACTTCTAATGGGTAGTTATGTATTACAGATTGCTTTTACATAAGTTACACTGGACTAGGAGTCAGAATAATATGAATTCAAGTACTGATTCTTCTGTTTTCTACACATATGAATTAGGTGAAGTCACCTACCCTTCTGCCTTTGTTGACCACTGAATCTGCCTCTTCTAAATAATAGAGGGGTGAAGTGCTTTTTAGAAATGTAAAGTGCTTCTAGTTCAGATTATTTAGCGACACTTAGATTATCAAGAAGCAGCTAGGTTTGGAAAAATAAGTCTGTTGATTATTCTGTCTTTAGACCTGAAAAATGATCTCTGTGCATGTGAATTATGCATAGAAGCTAAATGTATTCCCTGTATTTAGTAGAGGGCAAAATAAAATGTAAAGTTCAATGTATACTCTAGAGACTGTGTTAAAATTATGTATTCCTTTTAAGAAAGGCTGAGTGACATTTAAATGACATTTTTCTGTTCTACAGAAACCAAAGGCAAATACCAAAGTAATTTGTAAGCGTTGCAAGGTAATGTTGGGAGAGACCATGTCATGAGGTAAGCATTTCATAATAAAAAAGCCAAAATGATTGCCTTCTTGTTAAGAAACCAGCAGAAGGAGACTTTATAGGAAATATATATGAAAGACTGATGACAATATATTTATAGAATTGATGCTTTTTAAAGTAGACATCAACTAACGTATTATCCAATATGCCAAAAGTTTGTGTATTTTGACCTTTATAACTACATAGTATTGAGTTTTAAGCATTAAGAAGTTGGCTCATTTTCAGTATTTCATTTCCTCTTTGTAAATATAAAGCAATATTATAAAGTTTGCTTGGTCTGTCTTAAGGAAAATTGGAGACCTTTTCTTAATATAAATCCTCCTCAGAAGAGGTGATTGCCAGAGATGATGGAGCAGGTGCCTTTCCTGGCTGCCATCTGCCTCCAGGCAGTATTTTGGAGCTAGGGGTAAGACAAAACCTGTTGAAATGGGAGAACATACATTCTGAGTTTTGTACTCTGATCCTTGTTCTTTTTCCCAGTAGTTTAATTATATTTTATGCAAAGTCTATGTTATACACCACTTTAAAATATAATAATGAAAATCCTGATACTTAAAATACATCACTATTTAAAGATATGGCTTAAATATGTCTAGGGAGCTATAACATGCTGTGTTAGCTTTGTGGGTAATGAATAAGTGTTTTTAATATAATTAACTAGAAGATGTGATTTAGTAAAGCTGTTGTACTTAAGGGAAGGCACGTGGTGGAATGTTCTGTTTTTAAGAGTCATCAGAATCCTCTAAGTTACCTACTCAGAGTGAACAGAAAAGGAAAAAAGCATAGTGCTGAAGGACGCCACACTCAGTGCCATTTTTGGAGAATGAAAATAAGCCCCATAAGCCATGAATTAGAACATTTTAAGGCTTCCAATTAAATAAGGTGAACTGATTTTTCAAAAATTCTTTTCTGTTCTTCCTGAAACCCAGTTAAGGTGTCATTTAAGAGATAAAAGAAGGTATACATCCACAAAGACAGCCAGGTAGACAGAGGTGACAGTGATGTAAATAAGAGGTGTAAGCAAACTTATTTTTGGAAACTGTAAACCTGAGAGAGGTGTGGGAACACACTTAGCAGTGTGGAGGAGGCTTCAATCTCAGTGTCTACAGAACATCATTTGGATGAGGAGTGATCTAATACTCAGAACCCCAGAATGGGTCAGAATTTGGAGGCAGCAGGTAACAGGTAAGGCAGTCTGAGATAAGGGGCTGGAAACAGGATGATTAATTCGAAGTTTACATATGGAACTATAAGACTCCTCCTTCACTTGCAACTTGCTTATTGTCTCAAGGTAGGAGATTGAAGGACCCTTCCTTGGAATAATGGAAGAAGAGTGCCAACCAGAAAAAAGGTTTAAAGACCTGATTGGTAGGGGTCATTCCATAACAACAAAAACATGAGCTACATTCAGCCATCCTACAGTCAGTTAGCCTTGTACCTACACCCAAGTGCTTCCTCTCAGCATCTTATTACCTTACACTTAAATATGAATGGATTACTGAGAATCAATGAATATTAGAGGAAATTCAAACTACAAAAGTGACCAAAGTAAATAGTCAAGTAGAAAGAGTAAAGTTACTGAGAAGAAAGAAATAATGTACACAACATAAAATCTTTTCATAAAAAAATATAATAAATATCCTTGGAGAAATGAAAGAAAAGAAAATTAGAAAGGAAATTATATATATATATATGCAAGTTTCCTCAGGATAGGGATATTGTCTCTCTCATTTATCACTATACTTCGCACTAAAACAGTGTCTTGTATATAATGGTACCCTGTAAATATTTGTTGAATGAATGAATAAATTGAGCCTTATTTAGCTAACAGAAATTATGGAATAGAGACAACAGGATGCAGGAACTTATCAAACAAAATATCAAATAAAAATACCAAAATACATTATAAGGCTATTTTCTAGGGCTTGAATTTCTCAAGTGAAAGGGCCTACCAAGTATCTAATATAATTAATGGAGGGATGGCTGGAAAGCTACTCAAAGCCACATCATTAAGTGACTTCAGAACACCAAGCATGAAGTATCTGGAGAGAAAAAAGCAGGTAATATATGAAGGACTAGGAATTAGGATGACATTGAACTTCTTAACAGCAGTGTGGAGAGCTAGAACACAGTGAAGCAATGCCTTTATAATTTTGAAAGAAACAATTTTAACTCAGAATTCTGTACAGTCAAACCATTAGTCAAATGTGAAGATAATACATTTTTAGAAATACAAGGTCTCAAAACAAACCTCAAAGATTTATTTTCCTTAGAACTCTGCCATAGGATTTACTCACCAAAAGTAGGGATTTAACCTAAAAAGAAGGCATGTATTTGGGTAACAGATTATCAAAGAGAGAAGAGCAAGATTAGGAAGTCCCAGGGTTGGGGATGTATAGCAGGCCCAGAGAAAACAACTGAATTGAAGTGAGGAGAGAGAAGATTGCAATACTTTCAGTTATAAAGTGAAACTAAAAAATTATTTGATTTGTTTAACACATGTAACAAATAATCTTAGGGAAGCCATTTCATCATATGGGAAGAATTAGCTAAAGTTGCTTGGGAAACTAAATAAATCAGAAAGAAAGCAGTTATACACTGCAGGAAAACAGAAGGCTGAACAAAAAGGAAACATTTTTGCGGGATTATTATGGTCATAGTAATGTAAACACTGAATATTACTTTAACCAAAAATCTTTTGAAGTAAAATGTAAGTAAATTAAGAGGTCAGTATGTGTATGTGTGGAGAAGTATATCCACATTTACTCTAAAATAAATCAGTAGGTCTCAATTCCAAAAACCTTGGTATAAATAAAATGGGCAATTCCATTGTGTAGAAAACAAGTATAATACTATACACGTCCAAAAAATTATTAAGAACAACTACTGGAAAATGACCAAACTGAAGCAATGTTTTGAGAAGTGTTTAGTTATGAAAAACAGCTACTGCATTGGGTTAGAATGACAAATTTTGACGTTTTTTGCTTGGGGGTATTGCCGTTTCCTTGCCCTCCCAACTTGGATAGAAAATCCTCCACACCTTTATCATCTAGACAAGTAGATTTGGTTCAGGGTCGGCAAAGGAGAAACTAGAAATTCAATAGGGAGATTTTGGAAGCAAGGGGCTATAGAAGGACTGAGATGAGTTCTTCATGCAACTCTGTCCAACTGCTAACCCGTAATGCACAAATAGATGTCAGGGAGTCCAAAGGCAAATTTAGAGAAACATGCAACCATGTCTTTGATCACATTTCTCGTCCGCACCCAGCCGGGCAGAAGAAGGTGGAAGTCTTAATGGCTTGAGGTGTCTGGACAAGACCTCTCCTCAAATTTGGTGACAACACATGTCGGTATATTAAATACTCTCTAAGGAGCCGGGCTAAACAGAATGAGACAGAGCAGAGACAGTAGTGGCTATAGGTGTGGTCACTATACCAGTAAACCAGCAACCCGTAAGAACAAAACAGGATGCATCATGGCTACAGTGTACTACAGACAGTGTTCTCCTTCCCTCCAAAGCTTGCTAGATATGCAACAAAACAGAAAAAAGTGATTCATGCTTACGGTAAAAATAGGACTCAATAAACAGATGCTGAGTAAGCACAAATATTAGATTTAGCAGACAAAAATGTTGTAGCTGTTATAAATATGGCAAAGAATGAAAAGAGAAAAACCTTTTGAGTGAACACAGCAAATCACAAATTGGAAATGTCAAAAAAGAACTGTTCATATTTACAGAGCTGAAAGGTATAGTAACTAAAGAAAAATTTACTTCATTAGCTAACCCACACATTTGAGAGAACAGAAGGGAAAAAATCATTAAACTTGGAAATACATTAATAGAAACTAACCAACCCAAAGAACAGAGAGAAAAAAGTCTGAAACGAAAAGAACCTCAGATATTTTTGGAACAACATTAAGTGTTATGGTATATGTGTAAGTGGAGTCTCAGAAGGGGAGGAGAAAAAGACAGGGTCAGGGAAAATAAATGTAGAAAAAAATGGCTGAAATCTTGGCAAATTTGATGAAAATATCAACTTTGAGATTCAAGAATTGCGATGAATCTCAACCTGAACACATTTCATTCAGGTACAGTGTGGTCAACCTGATAAAACCAGAGATGAAGAGAGAATCTTGAAAGTTGCAGGAGGAAAAACAAAACATTATATAAATGGATTTCATGATACAAGGCACACTTGTTAGAGAAACAATGGCAGCCAGAAGACATCGAAATGATTGGGGTAGGGGCCAGTGGCAGGCACCAGAAACACCTGTCAGCTAACAGCTCTATGGCCCGCAAAACTACCCTTCAAAAATGAAGGCAAAAACAAGGATATTTTCATATCAGTAGGTGGATATAGTATATTCCTAGAACAACTTCTCTACAAAAAATGCTAAAGAAAATTCTTCAGGCTGAAAGAAAGGTACCAGGTGGTAATTGGAATCCACAGGTAGGAATCAAAAGCAAAGTAAATGCAAAGTATATGTAAATTACCACAAAAGGAAACCCAAATACAAAATTGAGGCCCCATTTCCCTGCAGATTGCTAATTCTCTAAAACTACAATTTTTATTTTCATTGCTTTAAGAAGTAAGGACAGAAAGACTGCACAAAATGAGAACCTAAAGGGCCATACCTTTACAGTGAAGGTGAATCAGAAGTGAACAGACCTGTGGAATTACAGACAAGTATCAGCCCTTTGAGGCGTCAGGGAATTTCAAATCTTGAACTTGGTTAGCTTGTCTTGGATGAGACATAACACCATTTCCTTGCAAAATCAAATTCAAATCACTTTTTGAAGAAAATATCTTCATTGTAAAACTCATTCCCACAAATTAATTTCTCAACTACAGTGTTCACCATAAACCCAAAGAAAAATAAGCACACAAATAAACTAGACCCCCATCAATAAGAACTAATAAAAACAGCAAACAATATAAGCAGAGGTCTGTTATTGGGATTATCAAATTTTAACAGTAAAACAACCAA